GTGAGCCCTACTGGGGCGTGGTGTCACAGCAACCACAAGTCACATGCTGGCCATCCAAGGTGCCAGTGCCTGGGAAGAAGCAGTGTCTCCATTGCATGTTGGAAGATTCTGGGGCACCTGGCAGGTGCCGGTGCCTGCTAGTCAGGCCAAAGCACAGGGAGGATGGATACAAGTCTTAGAGTTGTAATCTACCTGCAACCCAAACTCCGGGAGAAGGGAAAAAAAGTAAAACTGTGCTCTGTGCAGAGGAGAGCAGTCCGAAAGCAGAGCATGCGCAGAGTGCTGATGTGCAGGGCACAGTGGCCCAGAGCAGCATCCCATGGAGACCAGGAGAGGGCACCAGGCACAGAAGCAGCTCTGCCCAAGGGAAGCTTCTTGTTGAGCCTGTTGGCCAGGGCTCTGAGGAAGAGGACCATCGCTTGACACATCAATAGCTGTCAGAGAACCTGGCTTTGGTGATGCAGGGGCCAAGGTGCTGCTGGGTGGGGTCTGGCAGTATTGAGAGGGGCAGCAGCGTGACTTGCCCAGATCCACGGAGTGGTTCAGTGCACAGGGCTGGGTTCCTCCTTTCCTCCTAGGGATGCCAGGAGCTTGGATGGAGGCGACAGAGATGTCTCCCCATGGACCTGTCATACCCTGCCACCACCCTCAACATCTGCCCTACCACCCCAATGGGGAGTTCATGGAAGGCTCTGTTGGCCCCTTCTTGGGTTTCACCGAAGGTACCAGGGAAAGGGCAGAAAGGAGGTTCCCCCAGAGGAAGCAGAGGCCAACACTTCTCGCTCTGCCAGGAATCTGGGCTTGGGGTCCCAAGGGAGGGAGGGGGCCTGGAGGTAGGTTTAACAGCCGCTTTGCAGGAGAGACGGAACTATACAAAGTGGGCACTCGGAGAGCGGCAACCATCACTGCTATACTAGTCCGTGACATGCGCAGGGATGGGTTGTCCAGTGGTCCCCAAGGACGTGTACACACACCCCAAGGATACTGACCTTCCTATTTAGGCTGGCAGTCAAGGAAAGACACCTTCGTCGAGGGATTTCTCTGCTCCAGGTGCCAGGCACTGTGCCACCTGCTTCAAAAGTGTTGTCTCTTTCAGTCCTCCCAACACTCCATCCTGATTCCACTAACCCCACCTCCACTCCCCTGCTCCCACCCCCAGCCCTCCAGGCCCTTCTTGAGGCTTATCCTGAGCACTGCAGCCCACCTCTACCCCGCCTCCTGTGAGCACTGATAAGCATGCATTTGTCAGGGAGCAAAGGCCCCCAGTTAGTTAGCGTGGGTTGGTGTCGGTTGGTCGCGTATTTTTGTCTTCCTCTTCATGTAGACTGTAAACTCAAGGGTAAGTTCCATGTCTCGCTTTTGCCAATCAAAGCACACACCTTTATTGATGATACATACAAATGGTAGGTTTGGGTGGGTAAGGTTAAGTCAGTACAGCACACAAAAGGGGGGTGTACATTTTTGATGAATAGGTTCACCATCCATCAGCTCGCAAAGAAGAAGCAGTAAATGAGAAAGAATTCAACCTAGGCGGCAGCAAAAGCATTTTCAGCACAAGCTCCGATATGTGTCTGGTCTCCACAAAATGGTCCTGCTTAGACAGGGAGACCACCACGGGCAGGGCATCCCTCATGATGCTATAATAGGATGTTCTGTATCCACAGCTGGCAGCTGGAATGATCCCTTTACCACAGGAAGAAGGCCACAAGGGAGTGACTGACAATGCACATTGCCTGCAGACTGCAAAACCAAGAAGTTACTCCAAGCCCTGTGGGAACCCCTGCCTGGCCAATAGGAATGTGGTCCTCGATTTAGCGAGTGTAACTTTCACCCCGTGATGTGGTGATGGGCTAAGACTGGATCTTCAACAGCACCCACTGCAGATTCTTTGAGTGAGAACACATGTGTGTGTTCACCAGAAGGGTTTTGGGCAGATTCAGTCCCATTCTGTTCGAGATGGCCATTTAAGAGGCCAGGGTGTCCAGGAGAACCTGTCTGTTTCCGTTCCTCATAAAGAGGGACATGAATGAGAGCAGCATTTGGGCACCCAGCAATTCCCCTGCCAAGACTGGCTTTTCGGACAAACCCATCAACAGTTTCAAAACCTGAAGCTCAGCACATCCACTTCCCTCTGCTATCAAAGGAAACTTCAAGTCTGAAACGGACTTGGCAAGCATGTTATTAATAACTGTCATGCTTATTAACAAATTTAATCCGGCCTGCTGCAGAAACGAGTTGCAGCAATGTGACACAGTCTCCCGACACACTTCATTGATGTACATCTTAATCTGCCCCTGATTTTCAATAC